TTGTTATATATTTTACGAAACTGTTACCTGATACTGTTAAGGCTGGGAGCACAGACTTTTGCATAACGCATAACGCATAACGCATAAGGGAATCAACCAATCAGAGACCTTTATTTCCCTCTCCAGGATAGAAATGAATGACTCTGATTGATTGATTTCCTTATGTATTATGCGTTATGCGTTATGCAAAAATCTGTGTTCAGGCCCTAATTCTTATACATATACTATCCGCTATACTAATCTAACTCGGGAGCGGTGCACTTGGACACGGTGCATTTGGACACAACCAATCACAGCACCGTGTGATTAGAGACATTTGTAGGGTCCCTTGGAACAGCGACTTGTGATTGGACTGTGTCCAATTGCCCCGTGTCCAACTGATATACACCCATCTAACTCTACTCTACTCGATTTATCGGACAGCATTGAGTTGTCATGAATCATGAAAATACTAGATGCTTGTGACTATTATATTTTTCAGCCCTAGTGAAACTAACTCGTACTAACTCCAACTCGAATTATCGTAAACACCCGTTATCCGCTATGTTACTCTAGCTAACTCTAACTAATAGTGTGTGCGATTGACCCTGGATTAATCGCTCCGAGAGCGATTAATGATGTCACAAGTCTCTGCTAGCCAATCATAAAGCTTGTAAATACTTGTTTGATCAATAAACGTAGACTGAATAACCCAGTGGGTTAACCCAAAGTCAGTCGAAATGCTATTAGATAATCGGTTGGTAAGCAGACAAAATCCATAAAAAGAGAAGGGATAACGTTGGCAACGTTCAAAGTCTGTAGGATTCATAAATTCATTTCTGAAGATGAATATCTGATTCATAAATTCATTTTTGAAGATATCATTGTTGGATGTTAGGAAAGTATACAGAGGAGCAGAAACATGTCACAAATTTACACTTCTGTACATTCTCCTAACGTCCAACAATTATAACCTTTAGAAATAAATTTATGGATCCTAGAGACTTTTGAACGTCGCCAACGTTATCCCCTCTTTTTTATGGATTTTGTCCGCTTACCAATCGGTTACACGACATTTTCCCGAAAAGTAAAAGGAATAATGTTGGTACCAACGAAAACCTCTAGGCAATATAATTTCAATTTCTGCGGGTTAGTAACATTGTTTAAGTAGTAGTCTGGGGATCGATCATGTATCTTTTCACCTAGGGGTACGTTCAGATTCCCTACCTGGGTGCACTCTAATACTAGAAGTGCTATAGTATATGTAACATATTCTATAGTGTTTCTAGTAATAGAGTGCACTCGGGTAGGGAATCTGAACGCACCCTAGGATGAATTCGTGAAAAAGTGAAAATTTTCACGTAAATCGAAAAAGTGAAAATTTTAGTGCGAAAAAGTGAAAACTTTCATGCGAATTGATATTTCCCATGAAAAATAATATCTATATTCATAATAAGTTAATCAATTACGATGGCTGCTGCATGGTGGATAGTAAATGAGGAACAAAACGAAAGGAACAAGAATTATGCGTAAAATTTTAAGAGATACTCAAGATCCTTTTGATATCCCAGAAAAACAATTTCAGGAATTATATAGATAATAATAATTATTATTATATTATTATAATTAATTTTATTATTTTATTATTTTATTTTTTGTTTGTGTGTTACATTCATTCTAAAAAAATAATATATAACATGAAGAAATATTATAAGCAAACATGACAATATTTATAATCTATTATTTTCTCACTTTAATGTAATTATGCTCTATGCAAATGTGCTGGGTTGAGTTGATACATATACTATAGTAAAATTAACTCAACTCGACCCAACTCTATTTCGGAAGCATCCGTGGCCTAACATCCAAAAAAGAAATCACTAGATTATTTTTATTTTACCATATAAATACTACAAATACGCACACTTACTTTTCACGTTTTAGTCTACACGGTTGATGGCTAAAACGTGAAAAATAGTACAATACTATCATCATGCGCAAATATGTAAATTGTAATATTACGCATGCGTATTCCACAATTCAAAACAATGGCTGCGTTCGGATAGCTCGCTGTCGCGTTACGAGACGCTAACGCTATAAATACCGTTCGGGGAGCCAATAGCGCGATAGCGTTAGCGTGCTATCCGAACGCGTCGCGTTAATAGCGATAGCGTACGGAGAGCTCGTTAACACTCTATGAGATGCTAATGCTCAATTGCTTTTGGAAGTTTAACCCTTTGGGGACGGAGCCGCTCGACGGGCTATAAGGAAGATAAGACTTCATCGCTAATGGCCCCTAATGTCTTTGAATGAAAACGTGACTCTTTTACTATACCTATGCGTATCTTATCGCTCAGAACGACAGTCGTCGCGAGCCTTGCAGCTACGAACTAATTTGGGCGGCTATATGCCGACACGCGTCCGGAACGGTAAAACGGCTTGGGCGGCTATATGCCGACACTCGTCCCCGTTAAAGGGTTAATATGAATTGCGAAAATATTGATCCGTTGCAACAAGTTATAATTAAAAATGGAATTGTTGCAATTTTGCGGGAAATTATTGATTTTTCATCGTCAGAAAGTGATGATGATGTAGAACATGTTATGCAGATAGTGGATAGAAGAGAGAATCTGCC